AGAGAGAGAGAGAGAGAGAGAGAGAGAGAGAGAGAGAATTTATTTTTGTCTTACAGCCCACTTTTTTTAGTTACTAATAATGTTTTCTTATGTCAGGATATTCTATTACATCATCATTATTAATAGTAACTGTGTTCTTCCATAGCTGCACCATATACCAAAACCTACTTTTGGACATTTATATTTCAATTTTTTGCAATTTTAATAAGAGTGTAAAAAATGTGCCTGTGGATATCCTGAATAGCTAGCTTCCTTTGCTTAAATTCTTAAAAGTAAAAACCCTAGGGCACAAAGAAATTAATTTTTAAATGTTGAATAAGATTTAAAAAGACACATAAAACATCTCTTTCAGACTATTTTTTAACAAAACTTAATTGGTTTTGTTTTCTAATTTTTTACCTTTAACTATTGACCAGAAGCAGTTTGTAATTTTTACGGTAATATTTGTATTCTTATTATAAGAGGCTCAGTTTATAACCACATGGGCTACAAATATAAAGACAGAGATAAATATGGTTAGTATATGTACAATATGAAACTTAAATATTTAATATCACTCTTTGACGTACACTTTAAGTCATGGAAGTCCAAATCACACGAAAGCTTCCCTTTTGCTCATTTTGCTACAGTAAAGACATGAAACTTCACATAAGCTTGTTATATTGGTCATGTGGTTCTAGGTCAATCGTGAGTTAAAGAAGTTGCTGGTGGCTTCTGTTGGGGATGACCTTCAGTATCACTTTGAACGTCTAGCCCGTGAGAAAAATCAGCTGATTCTAGAAAACGAAGCCCTAGGTCGAAACACAGCCCAACTTGCCGAGCAGCTGGAGCGCATGTCGATACAGTGTGATGTGTGGCGAAGTAAATTCCTTGCAAGCAGGTATTTCCTATTTTCAATAGTATTTCATTTTCCAGTTTTGCAGTCAGATTTTTGACCCATAACACAAGAAAGTAGATTGTAGTGTGAAAAATTCTGACTCATGTTAATGTACTTCCTGTACATTAACATAAGATGTGAACTGTCCCTCCTGTGATGGTCACACAATCTCCCTAAGTGGAGAAGTGACATCATTAGGACCCTCCCTCATTCCACAATTCTAGGTTACGACTCTATCTCAGATGTCACTCCTACTACAATATTTAATACCAAAACAAAACTATAAATTCAGACACCTAGGCAATATTAAAATCACAGAAATCCAAATTATTTTCCCCTTCTTCTGTCTAGAGAACTCAAACATTGCCACTCTGTAAGATATTATTTGTCCTTCGTGCTCCATCCTCATAGTGTTTAACTATATAACAGCGCTTCCCAACCCTTTTCTCTGTGCACAAATAGAAAACGGTAACCTTGTATGGCATACTGGATGAGGCTACCCTCCAACAGGTGACAGCCCCAGGGCTCTCATCCAGGCCCATGGATACGCTGACCGTGGGGAAACTCTGCTGTACATTAGGATTCTTTGTCTGTTTATCCCCTCGTCCTCCTCCCAGCTTTGAGTTACTGGGGAACAGGGTCTGGGTGTCACCCATCTGTGTATGTCTGGGCTTAGCCAGTTGCTTCACACATAATATGCTTAGTGACTGTTCATTTCGATTCAGTCATCTGGAGATTTCTTACAAATTACCAAAGGTTTCCAGGCTATACTTTAAGAATCACTGATTGTAGTGAATAAATTTTCGGGAAAGTGTTTCTTCATGTCTTAACATCTGTGATACTTTCTAGTAACTGACTACTGTCTTCAAGTCCTTCATTTGTTTTCTGATTGTGCTAGTACAGGTTGTTCTTTGGAGAAATGAGCTTACTGTTTATTGTCTTAGAATGACATTAATTAGGTTAATTATCATTGAACAGCTTCAGAGGCAAATCATGCATATGGTATTCAGGTTATTGCAATATGTAACTTTTTTAACATCCTGATCAAAACTGATAGTAACATTCTAAGGACAATAAAAATTATACTTTATTGATATTTTAGTTGATTTAATCATTCAGTGTCAAAATTGCTTTCATGTTAAGGAATTCAGTGGTGGCTATGGTCTGAGATTTTTAATTTTAGTTTTAAGATTTTGAGCTAAGTAAACATACTTAAAATTTTGCTTCCATTCCAATAATAGGGAACTGGTTAAA